AATATCAGTACAGACATGATGCAAATATGCTTTCATTGTCAGTATGATCTCGTAGACTATTTCTGCCCACGAAGTGAATATACAGGACATGTCATGTGAAAGGGAAAAAAAAAATTAAGCAGTCTGACCTTGAGAACCAAAGGGGACACAACTGACTTAAAACAAGCAGACTTTTCTGAAAAACCGGCTCCCTGTTGTAGTTGCAAGTGAAAAAGGGAAAAAAAAACAAAGATAAGTTTCTCTTTTTTTTCTGCTTGTTTACCTTGTACATTGATAGCATCTTATCTGTTTCTCTTTCTCCTAATGGACAAATTTCCTTGCTGTTTCTATTGCTCTTCCAAACCTTCAGGCAGAAGAGGAAGAAAAAAACAGCAGTGTATGCACAGCAGAGAAATGTCCCTGTGAAATTACAACAGGATAAAAGTGGAAATGCTTTAGAACTGAAATGTATCTTCCTTTTTTGTGGACAGATAATTCCAAGCTGCTGCAGCCCCCGTAAGTCTTTACTCTGTGGGAAGCATGGGACTCTGCAATACTGGTCATTTCATCAAAATGAACAGTTAATAGTCACGGAGAAGGAGCAAGCTGTAATTGCATGGGCGGCATGAAGCAGGTTGGCGTGGCCTGACATGAAACGGTTCCCACAGCCCACTTGCTGGGAGATTTGGTCTGGTGATTGCAACAGGTCAGTGCCTGGTAGAGGCACCACTGATGTGCTCTAGCAGGATGTCTCATTGGATCTGAAGGTGGGATCAGGACTGCATCTCCTCCTGACTACAGTGCCCTTGGAGGCTGGCTCCCTTGCTTCTTGCCTGGTGTTGGCCATGTCTCATTGCCTGGGGCCAGGCACAGAGGTCCTGGGTTTGTCCTTGCTGTAGGTCCCTGAGACGCCCTAAAGCATTGCGTCCTTCCCTTTGGCACCATCACCATAAATACTCATCTGTGGATATGTGGTGATTTTGCCCTCAAGGGCCACTTTCACACGGTAGGGTAGGTGCCTTCAAAAGGCCCATGATGCCTGATTATAGGCAGTGTATGGTGCTACTTGCTGTCACTTGCTCTTCTACCGCCCTTACAAAGCATAGTCCACTTGGTGCTAAGACTGGATTTCACAAAGGCTACAGCAGCTTTCAGCTTCTGCTCCTAGCTAAGATCGGGTACAATTTGACCATTGTTCCTTATCTTTACTGGACCTTCCTCAGGGCTAAAACAAGGTGTTCAAAATTGGATAAGCTACTACACTGGGAATTAAACTGAAAAGCAAATTTATAGAATTTGTAATGCCTTCGAAAATCAGGCTATCTGAGCTTTCTCCATTTATTTTAAGCAAATCAAATAAAAGAAGCTGAAATTGCAAAGAGAACCAACTTGGATAAATCCCAGTGCAGCCACATCCAAAAGAACAACCAAATCTAACCCTGAAACACATCTAGAAACATGAATAACTCTGCAAATACACTACATTTTTTTTGTTAAAAGAGCCTTGCTGTCAGCACTGCTTCCAGTGTTTGACCAATCTGTGACACACATCTCAGAGCAGAGGATTTTTCCATTAACATAGTGCTCTGAATGTGCCTGTTGTGAAACACCGAGCACACGTCACTAGCGTTCACTTTGAACTAAAGAACATCTTTGATCACAATCATTTGATTTTCTCTCTACTCCAAACATTACTTCTTGTTTCCATTGGACTCTTTGTTCCTTGTAAACACAAAGCAAATTCTTGCAGTACATCAAGGGGAAAAACGCAGCTGGATAAACAAAATGAAAAACAACACAAAAGTTCTATTTGATTAAATGAAGAAAAATCAAATTTCAGGCATTGTGAAGAAAGTTTCTGAGGCGTCACATGGGAAACCCACAGACAGGTTAGTCCTTGTGCAACCAAGAAAAATGCCATCTTCCTAATATTCTTACCATGTCTCTGCAACGTGATTTTTAAAGTAGCTCCTTGAGGTTGCTTGAGTATACCTAAAACCTAAATAAATGTTTTTTTCTCTTCCAGCTGCCAGTTAAAGTACTAGAGACATGTTTGCTGCTCCTGAGTGACATACATCTATTCAAATCCCTTCTGAACTAGAATCAATATTAGCTAGATTCATTACCTCCTGTTTTATTGGCAGTTTGGGTGCTTGTTCAGAAAACAGTCCCTCCTAGTAATGTAATAAAGCCCCCACCTTGGAGATAATTAGGTTGTCTGAGATGTAGCATCCACTGATGATCATTTCCCTGCTGATTTTGGCCTGCTGCTCCAGCTCAGGTTGCAGTCTCCATCACTACACACTCTTACATCAGACCATCTGAGTCTCATCACCTAATAATTGCCATAGTAGATTTATTTAGTTTTTTTTTTTTTTTTTACTCTTCTATAATAACAGCAACCAGCCAAACCTCAGAGTGTCATTAACATGCTTTTAAAAATGCACTAAAATGGCTTTGTCAATTACCTCAAGATTTAATATCCCGGCCACACACAGATATCCCTCACTCTAAAAACAAATGCCTCCCGGAGTGCACACATGACACCACCCTTCCTCACATTTCCTTTGGGTCCTCAGTGTACCCCAGAGGCTAATAGATTCGAGCGCCAAATTGGGAGCAGAAGCACACTCAGAAAATGCTGTGAACATTCAGACACGGCCTTGCCAACTGTCTTTCCCCACCCCTCTTCCTGATGCCTTCATGGGTTCCCATCTTAAGCATCCTCACTTGTCATTAATTTCATTACTAATAGATGGGGGAACCACAATCTGATGCATCCACTCACTCTTAACTCACTTCCCCCGATCCTGTGGCGCAACCCATCCCAAAAGGTCCCACGCATTCAGATTTTGTGTTTTACTATTGAACGCACTTGCTCTTGGCTTTGACCATTGAAGAATAAGAGAAAACAAATCCCACTCTGTTAGGTATGTCAGGCTGTAAATGATGGTCTCTCTATCCTAACAGGTGGGAATATATGACTTTGCAAGTCCCCTGAGGCCTTAGGATCATCTTTCTAATTACCTTCATGTCTTTAAACAACGGGATGACTGGCAGGAACTCTGTGCAAAGTATAGCAGATGAGACAATATTTGCTAGTCCTGAGCTAAAAAAACCAGTGTAAGTAGGAATATTTATTCCCCATTTTTAGGCATTTAAAACCAAACCTTACCCAGTGGTATTAAATACTTAACTAAAACAAGAAGAGGCTGAAGAAGAAAGAACTGGTGCACAAAGGGAAAGTGGGTTTCCCTTAATGGCACAAGCACTGATAGTTTTGATGTATTTATCAAAACAAGCACAAGGACTCTAGGTGTGGAGGCAGCATTTTCACCTTCTTGTACATGAGAGCTGGAAGTTCTCCCCTGGCTGTTTCAGGCTGTGACTCTCTCGTGGGCATAGTGCCTCCATTAGAGGCTTTCTCCAATCATGGCTTTTTGCTGACACATTGCAATTTATTGACTTTCTAGGAAGGAAATAAGGGCGGTTTTGCTAATATGCCTTGCTAGAACCCAACCCTTAAATCATACAAGCTACTAATATATAGATACTCCATGGATATTGGATTGGTATTTACATTCCCACTATTTGGACAATTCCAAAGCAGTACTCCCTAAACTGTACCTCACGAGCTACCTATGATCTAATCAACCCTTTTGACATTGCTCGTGACCTTAGCAGCCTGCCGCCACCACGATTCAGATCACCAGGGAGAACAACGAATAACACTTCATGGTGAACATTTTTTGCTCAAGATTGTTGTCTATTGGTTAGCAAAGGCAGAAGTCCACCAGCATAGGTAGATTGCCAAATCCTGGGATCCCCGGGAAACATCCCAGTAGTCTTGGAGTCCAGCCTAAGCCTGGATAAATGCAATGTATTACAATCTACAAAGCAATTAATGAATGCTGACATTGTACCTTCTGTGGAACAAACAAAGAGGAAAGCATGGCCCTCTGCCCAAGGAGCTTACAGTTTAAATGAGACTGGCAATACAGATCAAACACACAAGACATGCAGAGGGAAGGGTGACACTTCAGCTTTCCCTTTGTTTTATGTAAATATAGATATAGACAGTGGCAGCAGAAAGTAAAGCATCCCTCTCCAGGACCCCCATGGCTTTTCTCATCCTCCTGTCCATAAGCAAGTTTAGATTTTATCTTCCCTTCATCTTCCTGCTGTCTCCCTGTGCACACGTGCCTCTTTTCACATTAAGTTCTTCCTAATTTAAACCCTAATTTTTTTCAGTCTTCCACATTTAGTTGTATCAACTCAAAACATGTCCCTCCAAAAGTAGATCATCTCACCTCTTCCCCTCACTTGACCTAGGTCATCCACCTCCCTGTTTCAAATATTCTTACATATTTAGATCAAAATCTCATCCATGCCACCACTCTAAGGTCTTTTCTTCCTTTTCTACAACTCCTAACAACCTACAATCTTTGCATGCCTTATGATCTCCTCTGCCCACACAAGATCCCATCTCTCTCCATCCCATCTGAACCCTTCCATTTCCATCAAGATCATGAGATCCTGTCAAATAAAATCACACCCTCAGACAATGTGCTTAGACCCCGACTGTGCAATCTGTTGATTTGTTTATCTTTCTTTGCCAAAAGCCAAGAATTCATCATCAGCCTAAATCCCTCCAGCTTTTCTGTTTTCATTCCTCTTTCATTTCCTTTAAAATACTCTCCACTCAACCAAAGTGTTACTTAGTTTTCACTATTTCTTCTATTGAGAAATTTAAACGTATTGAAAAAGAACTGTAATAAGGCCCCTGAAGATTTCAGACCTAAGTGACACACACAAACTTCTCTTCCCTGCAGTTCAGAAAATTGTATTACTATGCGCAATATTGTCATTATCCTCTCTCCTATTACAATTGGCACAAGGAAGTTGAAATATCTACTTCATGCTGGTGAGAAGTGGACAGAACTGAAGGAAAATGTAGGGAAAAAGACCCCAAACCCACAACACAAACAAACCAGAAGTGAAGATACTTTTAAAGCACTTACCCAGCATCAGTGCTATTGCCGCACAGTAACACATCTTCTGTACCATTTTTTATGAAATAGTTCACTGCAACAGAAATAGAGAAATGGCTTTTTAACAAGTACATTCTGGGAATGACAACATTCACAAATATCATCCACCAACCAGCATATTCAATTGGGACAGTAATTGAGAGATGAATGGCATGCTTTTGCTTTGTTTTGCTAATTTTAACTTTTATGAATTGTAAAAACAAATCTATTTTTTCAAAGCTCTTTAAGCACTTGCTGTTTGTATCCCAAATCTAACCAGCTTAATAAGGTGGCAGCAGGGCTGGGGGCAATGTTTGTAGGAAACATCATCTAGCCATGTCCCTGGCTGTTCTAACCGAGAACATTGTTACTGAATTCGGTATAGCACTATGTAGTGAAACCAAGCCATAAGCTTGCCCATAACTTCTAGACTCTACACTGATGAGATACTTATTAACTGAAGTTTGTGATAGAAATTCCTGACTCATAGGTTAAAAATGCAACCGGCTATAAGTCAAAATGTAATAATACTAACAAAGCAGCCCACTCCCCCAATCTGGTGGATTCCCCTCGGCATAGAAAACATACAGTATAAAGCAAAAGAAACAGAAAAATGCACGCTGTTAAAGATCAAGCAAACAAGGAAGTATTCATAAAGATAAATATTTATCAGCGCAGTCATCTGTAATGGCAATGGAGAGAGACAGACAATTCTCGAGGGAGACTCAGAGGAGCAAGCTAAATTTAAGTGCTCTGGATCATTCCCTGGTTGACTATCAATGAGGCTTAAGGAAATTAGCATCCCCCAGGCTAATGAGAGCCTCTGTGTACACACTCCCTCTTCTATCCCCAGCCAACAAAGTCTAACATTCAGAGAAACAGAATGGGAGGCCAACTTCTTCTCAAAAGGATAAGCGAAATCAGTTTTCCAGAGAGAGCTTGAAGAAAAAAGATGTTCTAAGGAGCATCTCTAAAACCTGAATGGTGGCATGGAAGAACAGATAAAAGCATTGATCTAGAAACATAATAAATGCAAAACAGAGGCCAGCAGCTGACTGATGGAGGGTAGATGCACCAAGTGTGCTTTGCTGCAGCAGAGAGGACAGGATCCCCTGTTGACATAAGACATGATGGTGGCGGCCTTGCACAGCATGTGTTTGTGAAGAGGGGCCTCTGCAAATGATGCTCAGAAGAGGTTCTCCATTCTAGGCTAACCCTGTTGTGAACTGTTTTAAAAATCAAGAGTGACAGCTTATCCAGGCAGGCTATGCAAAGAATGCTCAATGGCACAAGCCACCGAACAGATGTGCTGTGGCTTTCTCAGTAAGCTGGGAGCAGCGGAAAAGCCCTGCCCTGCTGCATGCCAAGAGGGAATTACTGTCCATGAGCTTGTGGTTACGAGGGCATGTGATGGTGTTCACAAGTTATCAGAGCATATATCGTGCTCAGACTGTATGCTTTCCCACTTTGTCTTACATGTGGGCTTTCCACGGAAGCATCTTGACTGTCAGCAACACCCAGGTATTCAATATGGTTAAAGATTTGTAATCAGTCACCACAAATGGGGGAAGGATGTCATGTCTTCCATCTCCTCTCACCCTCCACTCCTGCTGGTGAAAGACTTCTGCTTTTCTCAGGACAGATGGTATCTTATTTGGGATACATAGTGACACAAACCCACCAGCTTCTGGGGTACGGAGGCAATGTGGCACAACCATGAAATAAGAGATAGACAGACAACTGCAGAGGTTCTGCACCTTGTTATGAAACAGTCACCACATGGAGTACCCTGAACTTCACAAACATGCACTACTCCCTGGGAATCGCAACTTTTCATACTGCAAATGCTAAGACCAGGAGGACCATAGATCCGTCACTGTGTGTTGGCCGCTTCCTTTGAGGGACGACTGAAGCTCTGGAGCACAGTGCTGGTTGAAGACTGAACCAACACCTCCTGGTCAGCCAAATCAGAAAACGAGAACAGAGTCAGAGCACATAAGTAAGGAGGAAAAGGAGACTCTGTGTGCAAACAAGAAATTTAAAATCTCAAAATTCTGTTGTCTGCTGTTGACTTAAACATTTACATTTCTAAAACAAGCAATACGGTAGGTGCCAAAGAGTGCTGTGAAACGCATGCTGAGGAACCAGTGCGTAGACACGGCTGGGAGGGGGTATCTTCACCACGGAGTCTGCAACTGCACAACAGAGCGTCACAGCTACCGTGCCAAACTTCAGCCTGAGGAAGAGCTGAACTGCTGATTCCCTACTTACCAATGAAGGGGGGATTAGAGTATTATACCCAAGGAGACAAATCGCTGTATTATCAAAAATGCACACAACAATCAATTTGTCATACAAAGCAAGTTGGTTTGGATTTCGATCAAGCATGCTGGGCAATCAGGGGTCTTTAAGAAGCAAGCAGTCATCACTCTCGCTTTTAAGAACAAACCACCTTGGTATCATATTAACCCATGGCCTCAGCTTTCCATCAGTCAACTCTGGACTGAGTCTTTTTCATGGACAAAGAACATAAGACTCCTTTTTCATTTACAGTAGGATATTCTCTCTGAAACATAGACTGCTTAAACTGACCAACGCCGCCTGAAAACACAATGACTTTTTCATTGTCTTGGAAGGTTCCAATTAGTTTTTGGTTTGGTTTGTTTGTTTTTTCACTGAAAAATTTCTGCATGTCAGTGGGAAGCAAAGTAGGAAAACGAAAGTGGAAAACAAAACTGAAAACCTCCATATTAGAAATGTTTTTCAACTTTTAAAGTAAAATCAAGCCAAATCAATGATATTTGTATGTGTGCATGTGTGTACATAATCTTTATGCAACACGCCATTCTTTCCAAAGGAAATTCTCTTTTTTTTTCCTACCATCTCTACTAAAATGTTGATGTCACAGTTATGGTGTACACAATGCCTTTTAGGAACTTTTCTACAGGAATTTCCAGAGTAAGATAACTATTTGATCATATTAAAAGAATTAAAAAAAGAAAAAGTCAGAATAACACTGGATTCATATCAGTTTCTGGTTGGTCACACATTATTTACTCCATTGTTGCCAAATAAACTAATCTTTTTTTCAATAACACAAAACATTTCCTGTCAGTACTCAGCAGTCAAAAATTCAACAGAAATATGTTTTCTAATAACCAGATGTTATCTTCTCCAAAACATATACATATTTGTGCCTGAGCCTTATAAATACATACTCACACACTTGTAGCATCAAAGAGCAAACACTCCTCTAATGAATTCCCTTAATTCTTTTGAGGAAAGCATTAATAATAAATATTACTCAGCACAGTTGTTATACATTACATTATTATTTGGTAGGGACTACTGATGGTTGTCTTTAGATGTGACATGGAGCCCAGACAGCAAAACACCATGACTGTGGAGTGGAGTAATGTCTGCTCTTCCCCACCACCAGCAAACAGATCTTATACTAAACACAGCCCGGGAAATAATGTTCACTAATCCAGCTCTCAGTTACATTTACATCAACCCAGAGTAATTCAATCTCTCCAACATCCTCGGAGCTCCTGGCTTTCCAGGGACACCGAGAAGCTTGGTAGCAGCCCTAACGGTCAGTGGTCCCTTAAAGCTTAAGTTTGCAACAGCATTAGGAAGATGAAAATATATCACGCTATGTTTTCCTCCTACAACACCATGAGTTGCTGTGTCTCCTGCAAGTCCATGCTCTGCCTCCTACACTGCTCAAAGCACACAGCGGTAACCCTAGTTTTAAAGTTGCTGTATGCAAGTAGTGAGGAAATGCATAAATTCCTCTAGACTATTCTTGCAATGTCTTCCTTCCAAAGTCAATTCCTCAAGCTTCTCATCATTGATGCTGTTTCATTCTACACTTTTTCCGATTTATCAATATCTTTCAGGTTTTTGCATTGGTCCCTTCCACACCAGGCAATTCCAACAGAGCAAACATTCACAATGGCTCCACCTGTCAAGTTAAGAAGAAAAAAAAAAAAAAAAGGCAAACTTCCTCAAAACAATAATTTATTCTAATTAAAATTATGCTTCAGCTTATACTTTCCACACCTACATCACAACTGAACAGAAAGCCAGTGGGGTACGTAGAACTGCAGGGTAGAAATCCTCCTTATTTCTATGCCAAGGAAAGGAAGAGTTTCCAGTTTAGAAAAATGGAAAAGGTTAGAGTCAGCTTAGAAAACATGGTTTCTGAGCCCAGCTTCTGTTCCTCCTTCGAAGACCCAACTGAAATTTTGACTCATCTTACAACAAATTCATTCCAATCTGAAAAAAACCCTATATATTATCACACTTGCATAAAGAGCGACATTCAAATATCATAAGTCACTGCCCAGAGTATAGTCCTCTGGCTGACTTTCTAACAAAAACTTCAGAGGTGTCTGTTATCTCAGACTATTTATTGCAGCCACACGGGTGCTCGCTGGTTGCAGGTTTTCTCCCTGCTCCTGGGCTGGCACAGGGCACTGACAGCCACCAAACGTCCCGATTCCAAATTTAAAATGCAATTCAGAAAGCCCCATCACCTTACAGTTGTGATACGTGACACAGAAACAAAATAGATAACACCCCCTCCTCGCCCTTTCGCCCACCGGCACAAACACACTGTACCTCCTGGTAATACATAATAATTAAAACGAATCCTTGCTGCACTTGCTGTGTGCACACTGTGTCACAGTGAAGTCTCTAATAAATGAAATTGAGTTTGAAGATGAAAAACATGCTTCACAAAAGCGATGGAACAGGATGTATTAAGGGTATTATTAGGGAAGAATGCTTGGGAATAAATGGACCGCCAGTTAGTTCTTCCCTGCTAAAAGGGGTTGCAAATAATTATAATAATCAGTTACTCTCCTGTTGCTCACCCCATGACAGGGGATCTGGCTCTCTGCTGTCCCCTGGCATTTGCTGCTGCCAGCCTTTCTGCTGGGTTTTGCAGGCTCTCGGGTGCTCTCCTCTCCCCTCTTGCTTCCCATCTTTCCCTCCCTCTCCCCCGGGCACTCGCTTCTGGCCTAGCTCTCTCCATCTGGGAGGACATTT